TTTGGATATTTTATAATAGTATTATAGTAATTTAACACATCTTATTTTTCACGTTTCTTATTTACTAAACGTAATGTTTGATTTGCAATGGAAGATTGGGATTACACAGCCCAGTAAACATAATCCCAATTATGTTCAGCATGTTTTATTATCGGTTTTGTCTTTCCAAATTAGTTTCATGTAACCGGCTATTGAACTTTGATCTTTGAAACGCGCATTTATCATGAAATTCTACGAGAGATCTCAACATTGCACACAAATACACTGTTTTTTACAACTGTAGAATTTCTTGTGCCATTGTATGCTTCATTTATTCCTTCTTTAGTTGTCACAATTTGACATTCACATGTGTCAACACATAATTCTCATCCATAATGTATTTATATCAAATATTAGTCCAAAAAAAATTTGAGAATTTAAATTAAGATGAATGTAATGTTATTTATGATAGTTTTGTAATGTCAAAACATGGTAATAAATTTTTATGGTAGTAAAACATACCCTGAGTACTTATTTAGGAGAAAAAAAACATAAATTCTTATTTTGGAATTGCTATACGTTTTTACAATTTTACTCTATTTAAAGAATTTCCCTTACTTTTTATTAACAAATGAATCATGATTAAAATATAGTATGTGAACAGTGAAAAGGGAAACAACCCATCAATCGTCAGAAACATAGTAGTATTATACTCCTTCTGTCCCGCTACAATTATGTCATCTTTCATTTTTGGTCCACACCGGTGAGATTTTCTCATACTAAACTTGGTAAAGTTTGTGTGATTCTAAATCATTGTTACTTTATTTTTACTTTATTAATTCAATACCAACCACATAAATTCACTTTCTCATATTTATTAATAAACATGTCACTTTCTCATATCTCAATGTTAGTGGGACGGATGTAATAAGTTTTAGTTTGTTTAGATGCTAGCAACCGCCATCATTTAATTTTAATATTTTATAATTGTTTATTTTCTATTGTACATTTTTTTATGTGCAGATAAACACTAGTAACCAATAAAATAAAACATGATAAAAATTACTAGCTCAATTACCCCTCAAATATTTGAATTATACTTATTAATTGTTACTCAAGAAAGGAAATATAACTACAAAAAAAACACTTAATTTGTCACGGATATTATTCAGGGATACCGTCCCTTACAAGTTTGTCAAGGATTTGTTAGGGAAAGGGCCCCCATGAATTCTTTAAAGCAACCGCTGACAACGTGCGCTTTAGGCTCTTAGCTGTAAATTTCCAATTAGTTTTTTTCGGGAATTATATCCCTAACAAGGGGTTTGTCAGGCCGCTAGTGCCAGGGGCAGAATCCCTAACAAAATTCCTAACAAATCCATTTGTTAGGGATTTTTTACATTGTCGTCCCTAACCAACTCCGTGACAAACTCAGTGTTTTAATGAAATGTATTTTAACCGGGCAAATTTGTTATATGTAAACAATTTCAATACAAATACTTACGATGCAATGTGAATTAGTTTTAAGTTTCGTCAGAGTAACAAAAGAATTAAGTTAGTGTTGCAATCCCGAAGCAGTACACAATGCGGCAAGAGCCCGGCCCACTGCGATTACGTTGTGATTTTGATTGTTAATTCAAAAGGCATCACAATTGCTGGGTGTTGCAGCTGAGCACTTGCGCTATGGATTGTAACTGCAATATTGTGAGCGCGACACATGTTGTGATCCGCAATTTAAAACCAACCATATAGCCAAGTAAGCCGAAATACTCCCTCCGGTTCTTTTTAAACTTCAGTGTTTGACTTCACAGTTATTAAGGAAATAAAGTTGACTTTACTGTAGAGTACACTGCTGAGACACTGTTTGGCACTGTTGAGACACTGTTTGACACTGTTGAGACACTGTTTGGCACTGTTTAGCACTATTTAACACTGTTTTGATGTAAGTTTCTTTGCCAAATAAAGAAATAAGGAAGTGTGAAGTTTATTTTGGACCGTCCCAAAAAAGAAAGTGTGAAGTTTATTTAGAACCGGAGGGAGTATAATAATAATCATATAAAAGTGAACCAACACAGCGAGCAAAGCAGTTCAATGCCTCTGAACACTAGCACATGAGGATTCCATCCATTGGACAATTAAGGTTGTTATGTGAGAAGAAAAAAAAATATGAAGCAATGCCACTACGTTATTTTCTGTTAAGCGGACCTTCCGTGTTTGACCTCCACCCGGCCGTTTAACGAGGGCAAGTCAATTTTGGAGCCGTACCACTACGTACTGTTTTTATTTTAATGTAATAAAATTGAATAATTAAAATACATTATTTCTTCTCCAAGCAGTATTTATCACCAAATTTTGAGTTCATTATATAATGATCATATTTATCATCAGATTTGAGTTGGAGGGACCATTATTGCCTGTACCATTTACGTACGCCCGTTCCATTATTAATTAGGTGTTTACCCTAATTCCAATAACTTGAATGGGAGCTGTAGTCTGTAGTGTTCTTTTTTACAGGACAAATTAGAATAGGAGACAGGGAGAATAAATAAGGATAATGTAGGTGAAAGCTATGTTGTAAAAACCGGACCGGTGAGCGACCCGGTCATGTGACTGGGTCACGGGTCAACCCGGACCCGGAGGGTCAACCCGGTCAAAGCCGGAAAACTGGTCAACGATTATACGTCTATATAATAATAAACATATGATTATATACACTCTCATTATATATTTTTATTTGTATTGTACATTTATATTATAATTTGGCATGATTTAAATAAATATATAAATATATTACATAGTTTTTCTTTTTAGGGAATTGAAATTGCAATTTTATTGGTTTAAAAAATGCATTAAAATTAAAAAAGAAATTACTTTTTTTTTTGAAAAAGACCGAAAACTGGGTTTTCTCGGGTTTTTCGGGTTTCTTGGGACGGGTCCGGATCGGATTTTTTCGGGTCAGCCGGGTTTTTCCGGGTTTTGACCATTTTCGGGTTTTGAAGAAACCGAACCGGATTTTTGTCCGGGTCACCGGGTTCCTGGTCAACCCGGCCGGGTCGGGTCGGTTTTTTAAACATAGGGTGAAAGAACATTAAATAGTGTAGTAGGGGATTTTAGTTATTAAGAAAATTCATATTTTTCCAAAATTGGAAAGTTGAACAAGCATTTGATAGGAAAGTGTTGAATTAATTAGTCCAAATTCCAATACAAAAAATGGTCCCTAAAAAATTGAGTGATGTTTATGAGAAATTGAGAATATCTCATTGTTTTATGATTTTTTCTTGTTACTTTAATTTCCTTTTGTTTTCCTCAAAAGATGGAGTACTCTAGCTGTATGGCTCTGGCCAGAAGAGCAAACGAACCGGCAGAAGAATTTTTTCATACATATTTCCACACAAATAGCCACCCTATTTTTTCATATGACATTACCGCATAATAATTTCATAAGCGTGTAGGCTTAGAGCATCTCCAATGGTATAATGTGCACGGTGTACACGTGACATGAGAGATGACCACATAAATATTAGTAAATAAATTCTTTCCCTCCTTATTTTAATGATTTTATACAGATTTAGTAAGTTTTTGTCCACAATGTCAAGGAGACCGTCTAAATGTTGACATTGCAGGGAAAAACTTATCAAAATTGTATAAAATCATTCAAATAAGGAGAGATATAATTTATTTGCTAATATTTATGTGGCTATCACTCATGTCACATGTATACCGTGCACATTTTAGCATTGAAGATACTCTTACAATTACATATACTTGAGATAAATATGACCACACAAAATTAAAAAAGAAAAGAGTAACCCATAAAAAAATCGCCTTGCCAGAACAAGCACTGAAGAACACAGCCGGTTCCCGACTCCCAGGCTTCTACAGCCTTTATTCCTTCACAGTATAGCAAATTGCCAATCATTAGCGTTATGACTCCGTATAAGGAAGGCTTACTTACCCATACGAGCATGTTAAGAGTATCAGCATCCGTTAAACAACAAGAGTAATATAACATTTCACTTTGAACCTCATTAGTGCACTTAACTATGGAGGCATAATGCTAATGATTGTTCTAAAATCTAGGTTTAAGTAGGTGGAAGTTAAACGCTTCACCACACCTCCCCAATGTTACAACACTAAAAGAGGTCTCTAGTTTTAGAGTGCAACTGTGCAAGGTCGCATATCCCGTAGTGCCAACAAAGTCTAACCGCAAGTAGCGGGGACAGAGCCTCACTCTCTATCTGTCAGATTGTGATTATAGTCCAATTTACATCCTCCCATCATGCCGTCCAGTCGGTGTTGGGGGGCCCTCAGGGATGGGGTGTCATCCTTTATTTCAACAAAAAAAAACAAAGTCTAACCGAGATAATTATGAAAAAAATGAACCCAGATACTGAACAGAGCAGTTCAATGCCTCTGAACCAGGTTTATAATCTAGGAAAATAGCAATCAATGCCACTTCTAGCTAACAAGTAAGCATTTAAAAGAGAAAATAATCCACATTTGGATCCAGTAGGATATTTCATATTTACTAGGGAAAGGGAAATGGTATATGGTTCATGTGAAAAGCTCATAAACCCAATTACTCAATGACTCATGTATAATCCTCCGAGCTAAAGTGCAGAAACCCAATGCCAGTAAAAAAGTAAATACATTTTACTCATAAGAACTATACTGATCAGCAGTTGCATTATACATGAGTAATCAAAGTATAAATGCATGCCATGGCATTTGTGCGATGCTGCAATTCTTCAAGGCTCTACTTGCATGTGAAAAATGCCAGGGGAAAATATAGTAGAAAATTTTGAAGACAAGAAAATGTTGAGTAAAATAAAATATTGATTCAAACAAATAATTTTTTTATGTTCGATAGCATTGTTTTTTATTAATTCATTTCTATAAATATGTGATCAATATGTAGGTAAAATGTTTTAAAATATCACTCATATTTTATTTCCGTTTGCATTTTCTCGGTCATTTTCAATTCATTTCCCTAGCATTTTCCAGGATCTAAATATAGCATAATCTAGAGCAAAGAAACTATAACAAAATACAGTAGGAATTCATTTAGCATGGCAAATCCAGAGCAAAATGACTAAACAGAGTAAGCAGCCATTGATGCACCAATATATCATTTTAAAACACCATACACCACCTATAGAGCAGAAAGTGAGTGTAGATATACATGATTGTTCAAAAATCAATTAACAATTCTAACACACTCTACAAAGATTGAACACATCAAAATAAATGGAATGTCTGCCAAACTATAGTCTTTGACTAGTTGCAGATCACTCCAAAGTATCCGGATTTTCATCCCTCTCCGATCCTGCAATAAAAACCAAGGATTTATTAATCCTAAAGATCAAAACTTTGTGAATCCTAAAAATAAAAACTTGTTAATTCCTACATATCCAAACTTTAAACAAACATTCTTATGCATCACAGAAAGAAGCATCGAACTAACCTTCCTCATCTTCCACATCATCTTCTTCATCAAATTCAGTATCATTCTCCCAGTTGTTATCATTTCCATATCTCTGATTCAAGAACTCAACAGCGGATTTAGTAAACACTAGTTTCTCTGAGTCTAAGATGTCAAACAAATTCATAGTCCGAGGTGTTAGCATCTTCAATTTCCCAAGGTTTCTGCTTGACAGCATAACATTATCAGACATCTCCGTCATCAAGAACATCGATTTCTCTTTCGGGTCCAAACCCAACCTCTTCATCATTGCTATGAACTCTTTGGTTTTGGGTGTTTGGAATTTATCATTGAATTCTTCTACAACAATGGAATTCTTAGCCGCGCTAGAAAGGGCAGTGGAAATTGCAAGCCTCTTCTCCTTCTTGTTGATCTTGATGGACCAGTCCTTGGGCTTGGGCCCAAATATGACTCCCCCTCCGGGCCTGAGAGGAGTACGCTGAGACCCACGCCGCGCCTTACCCGTCTTCTTCTGCTGGTAGGGTTTCTTTCCGCCGCCGCGGACCTCTCCGCGGGTGAGGGTGGAGGCAGTCCCTCGGCGCTTATTACGGAGGTCGGTAGTGATACCACGGTGGACGACCGCGCGTGCGGTGTGGGGAGGAGCGGTCTTTAGATCGAGAGTGGCGGAGCCCACTTGGTCGCCGTCGAAAGAGAGGACCGGAAGGGTCGCGAGTTCTGCACGGACGGACGCAAATCGAGAAACTTTGAGCTTCGGGAATTTCATGAATTTGAGCTTAGATGGGGCTTTTGGGAGTGGAGTAGAGATAAAAACAGATGAAGAGAAAGAAGATGTGGAAGAGATCGCCATTGTTGCCCAGAGGTTAGAGCTTGAGAGTATGAACAGAGAGTGTCAATTATCCACAAACTACCCAAATCCCAAAAGCCTATCCAGTATCCATTTCTCGACATTTGAGAATGTGGGATTGGGAAATGGATAGTCCGATATGATCGGTTCGGGCATAAAATCCGGATCCAATGTAGAGCGGGGTGTATATTTCTTTTAGCCCCTAACTTTTAATTAACCTTACTTCAGCCCTTGATATTTTATATACTCCGTATATACTCCAAGACGTGGTATATCCAAGACACGCCTTCCCCGCAACACGTGAAATTTGTCAAAATTGCAAGCCTAGTTAGGAGTTAAAACTTAAAGTCTGGCCCCGATTAATGAGTAGCTAGGGTTCATTATCATGTTCTTGCTACTCCCGAAAATATTAATTTAACAAAGATTTGGGTAGAACATACAAACACAAATGTCTCTCTACGGTCCTTTAGAGTTTAGACCAAATATGAAGTGAGTACTTATTGGTATATATCGACCATGTAATTGGTTCATGAGTAACCCATTTTATATAACATGTTCGTGTTCCATCAACATTTGTATGTACATTCTAATTTTTTATTAGACACTAGATTATGATTGTTTAATAGAAAAAACTTGATCACTCAACGATTTTATTCAGGTAGCTAAATTTTTATGCGCATTCCATCGTTTGCAATATAACCAAAGATTCACTGTTTTTTGACATGAGTATATGATGAAATAAAGCAAAATGACTCACTAAATTGTCTGCGCTTCTTTGTTATGAAGCAGCAGTAGTCCATGTAATTTTCGATGCTCTTACTCCATCGCAGGTGGGAGTCTTTCAACACTACAGTAATGATGATGAACTAGATTTTTATGCTCTGTGTAAATTTCATTTTAATGATGTAAAGTGATGAATTCTGTAAATAATATGTATTCTAGCTATTTATATATAATCAATATAGTTGTATAGCATCCCACTATCATGTAGCAGTCGTATATAATGATAGCAGAAAAGCCCTCACACAAGCTAGTGACAAAAAAGAAAACAAGTTAAAGGCATAAAGAACAACATAAAAAGCCACTTAACTTGGCATTGGTTCAACTTTAAACAAACCTTATGCTCCATTGTGTTCACCACTTTAATTTACTTCGTGGCTACCTTAATAATCATTTAGAATAGCATATATTTATTTGACTCATTAATCTTTATGAGTAACGCTCGAGTGGCGCTTGATACTTTTTAATGTAATAAGAATTTGAATGAGTAGGTTGGTAAAAGTGAGAAGTAGCACATTTTGATCCCAACTCTTTTGTTAGAGAGCCACATCAATATATTGACGAGAGAAGAATGAGTTTATAAGACATTAAATCGAATGAGTTAATCCATTGAATCAATCCTGTGTTGTTCGACATATATTCAGCACCCTCTAAGAAGTTTGGAAGCCCCAATTCCAAATGATGAATTGAAGCTCCCTCTAATAAATCTTGTGTTGAATACAAAATCTAACAATAAAATACAAAGAGACTAGATAGTACAATATATATATAAGTTTTATAATGTTAAATTACAAAATGAAATAATTTAAAGTTATACACATTTTGGAATATGGAGTAACACATAACATATAGAAAAATCAACCTATAACTACTACTATATTGTTCCTAAAACTTTGTCAAGTTTAACCGACTCATGGAATAATAAGTACAAACCGTGTGATTGAGTTTTATATAGAGAATAGAGACACAACATGAACCACAAATTGATTTAATAAATAGAAAGTAACAAAACTTTTAGGATATCTCGAAAAAGATGACATAATTGTAAGAGACGAAAGGAATACTATCATACTAGATTTTTGGGGGTTCCCTATGGAAGTGGATCCGGTGCCAAACACCTATCGCCTAAAAGATGGCCTTGTATATATGTAAGAAGATATCAAACTAGTAGTACCCGATTCAATGTAATAAAAATGTGATACCACAAAAAGAATAAAACTTTCACCATATACATAGTCAAAAGGACAATCCTTTTTCGGAAAGGAGAACTATCTATGTGCTAGGTGAAATGAAGTAAACAATATCTAAAAATGAGAACGCGCATGCCATTGTCAATCATTTCAGCAACTTTTATAATTTTTTAACTTTAAAATTGTTTTCACAGCACCAACAAAATTGAAATTGTACAGTTCATATTGTATTTTTAAGAGTTTCCATAAATGTAACCAAATATGAGGTGGAAAAATATTTTGAGAGACAAGAAAATGAACAAATTAAAACATTAAAATTGACTGAATTGGTTAATGTTGCCGAGATTTATGAATTTCAGACTGAAGTGACTGGATTAACTGTTTTAGTACTACTTTCGTAACATATATATCTTCCCGTTTAGAAGTAGTTGAGATTAAGAATAGTGAGAGCAGATGTAAATTCTTGAGTGTATGATGAGAAGATAAAGAAATAGTATGCTGAAATTAAGGATAAATCCAAAAGAAATACGTAGTAGTTGTAATAGTTTATTATTTTCAAAATTATTGAAGGTATGATGAGAATATTTAGAAATCAGAAGATATAAATATTATAGACGAACAAAAAAGTGGGAAGATATGAATGATACGGAGGAAGTAATAAAACAAAGAAAAATCATTTGAACAAATAACTAAAATGATAATAACGGTAATTTCAGTCAATCAAGCAAAAAAAATCCTACTTTTCTTAGTTTAATTATTATAGAACTAGGTGACCACCAAATCAAAAGATCAAACAAAAATCGTCTACAAAAAACGTACTGAATTAGGTACTCAAATAATTCTGACCTGTATGTAGGTCATGGTTGTAAGCAGAGCAGAAGCATTGTAGGGCGGACAATGTGTTCGGTCTTCTGCCATCACAAAACTCCGAAAGATCTGTGCCCTTTCTGTCCCTCACCTTTCCATCATTTTGGTCCCTTTTCTATCTTCCATCTCCTCCAATACCTATATATATATATATATATATATATATATATATATATATATATATATATATATAGATTTAGGATCAAATGAGAACAACCCTTAACGTGAGAACGTGAGAACACCACATTTACCCAAATGTGATGCACAATGAGGCTCGCCCAATGCACATTTTCGCGTTCGGCACAGTATTTACTAAAATGCCACCGTCATTATTTATATAGGCTTATTTTGAGCTAAACCCAAATGTGCACCTGACGGGCTCAATTGTGTATCACGCTGGGTTAATTGTGAGTGTTCTCACGTTCTCACGTTAAGCATCGTTCTCATGTATATATATATATAGAGTATATATATATATACTCTATATATATATATATATATATATATATATATATATATATATGTCACTCCACTGATCCACTCTACGTCTTCCTCACTCACCTTCCAGAAATTAAATTCATAAGAAACTGTCTAGAGAGATAATCGGATAATCAAAGATGTTGAGAGGCAGAGAACAGAGAACAGAGGCAGTGTTCGAGAAACAGATCAAGTTCACCAGAAATGGCAGCTTGAAGGCTCCGGCGAAGAGATCGTCATCGCAATTGGCTCATCCTCTCCGATACTATCTCAAGCGATTCAGCGGAAGTATGGCGGAGGCTCTGCGGATGATTTCGCCGGTGAAATGCCGCAAACTTGACTCTTCATCATCGTTTTCGTCATCATCTTCGTCTTCATCCCACTACAGCAGTAAATCATCGAGGCAGCAAGGGATGGTGGCCGGAAGCAATTATTCGTGTACAGCTTCCGCTCCTCGCCGGAATTCAATCGGAACTGACGATCACAGAGCTGAAGCGATAGATGATTGCATCAAATTCATCAACGCCTCCTTGTCTAGATCAAAGTCACTCGCTTCTTATATTTGATTTTGTATGACGGACCGTTAGATAGGGTTTATTGTTAATTGATAGCTCCTAATTAGCTTAGAACAATTAATTTGTATGTAAATTGCCTATGGGATCAGTCGATCAGATCAACTTATGAACTTATGATCGAATGGTGCGGAAATTGATTTGAACCTGTTGAGAGAAAACGTGTACTTAGAATGAGTCGATAAAATTTTGCCTAATCATAAGTTATGATTATTTATTTGAACTATTTGTATCATATTATTAGTAAATTATCAAAACATAGATATACTCCATACACCTTATTAACTTGGATAATCATTTTAAGTTAGTTTGAATTTGATCACATAGCATTAATTTGTTTCACTTTCAACATTAAACTATAACTTTGGTTAAATATTTAATCATATACTCCCACGGATCCAGGAAAAAAGGTTATTGGGAGCATCATTTAAAAGGTTTAGTTCAAATATTTTTCAAATATATATTATATTTAAAATCAATCTCATAGTTAAAACTTTTTATATTTTAAATATTAAGCTCAATACGCACACACATTTATTTGAACAATTACTTATTCCGTATTTAAGTGTATTAACTAATTATGACATTTAAGATGTCACATTCTTATAAAATACCTTTATAAATATGTAATTGTTTTTTAAATAAATGCGCAGACGCGCACACGCGCGCACACATACACATATTTGAGCTTAATATTTAGAATATATAACTTTCTCATAGTAATATATGTGTTTTTTTACGCTTAAGTAACCATGACATTATACTCGTAGTAACATGATTTTTCGGAGGAAAGGTACTCGGTCTTTAATCTTATTTCCAAAATAAGGGTACATGTAAACATATTTCCCTAATGAAAATTTTTCAGAGTACTCTTAGTTGGAAAATAAAAATCAAGAATACATATCCTCAAGATAAAAACGCTGATACTTATTTTAGTCATATTTTTATAAAATATGCAAAAATAAAATGCGAGGATTACTAACAAAAAATAGCCTTATAAAATATGAAAATTCTTTAATTGATTAGTGGGTTTTGGATGATCAACTTAGTGACGTAGGATTCTTTAAAAAAAACTTAGTGAGGTGGGATTGTGAGTGTTTTGTTGGGGGCATCCTTATTTTTTAATTGGGGGCACTTCCACTTTTATCATTAAAATACAATTTAATAACACTAAAATTTCACATTTT